GGTCATAACTTGCTGTCATCCCTTGGATATATTCATCACAGAGTGAACCATTCTAGTGATTTTGTGGATCCAATTACAGGGACACATACGAATTCTAAAGAAGGATTTTGGAGAAGATTTAAAAATAGGATTGGAGTTATAAATGGACCTCAAAAGGATGTAATTTAGTCATTTGTATGAAAATACGCACAAAATATGGTGTAACTTTCCTATCGACACTCTTATGCTAAGCTGGGAGATGTTTCTGCAACATGTTAGAGAAAGATATCCTACGTAACAGTTTTATGAAGTTTATATGCTTTTTTTCCTGATAAATATATCTTTTCGATAATCAAAATTCCCTCCTTCATGTGATTGGTTTGCTGAAGGTCGTTCGCTGACTGGTATTTAGTGGTGCTTAAAGTTCAACTTTGCCGGAACTACTTATTTTAAAATAAAAGCTGAATAGCTATCTAAAACCGGATTATTCTAACATTTTTATTTACGAATCATGATTGTAGTTATTGTGTTATGGTAATTTACTACAGGATGTTTTTAAGCATAATAGACATTATACCCAACAAAAAGTGACTTTTAGGAGTTTAGTGCTTTTTCAAAACATATTTCCATATTTTATTGTTATCCTTATTAGTTACATTTTGGCACTAGTTTAAATTATTTCAACCATCTTCCTGTGTCATTTATACTGAATATAACTTATTAATCGTATTAAGATGACTAATGCATAGGCAGATAAGATCAAATTTCTTTTTTGCTATTACTTCTGTTTTCCGCCTAAATCTAAAGTTAACAATCAAACGTTACTTTAATGTAAAAATAAAATTTGGGCACAGCCTAAATAAGTGATAACATGATTGGGCGTATACAGTTATCCACAAACCGCAGTGAAAACAAAGGATATTCCAAAATATTTACACATCACTAATTAAAACGAAGATGAATAAAAAAAACAACCAAACGAAACATTTGTGAATCATTTCTACATGGCATAAGTAGTGAGAAGTTATTTTTCCTTAGTCAAGAATACCAGTGTTTTAGCGCTATAAATATAAATAAATAGATTTTGCAGTAAAGAAGAAAAAATAAGACGTATCACAATCATTACAATATTTTTCCAATAAGGTGATAATGTAACACGTGCAAAAGATGTAAATATAGTCATGGACAACAGAAATAAATGACATGGTATAGATGGAAATCGTAATGTAACGGTGACTTGATAATTAAAGAAATTTTCAAGTATTGGTGTGTAGGGATTTGGTTGATTGGTTACAGGATTTCATAATGAGCTGACATTGGTTAGAGAACCACTGGAAGTACTGGATAGTTATTTCATCCTAGTCTGGGACTCTTCACAGTACGCACCCACCGAGGTTCGAACCCAGGACTTTCTAGTTACAATTGGAAAACCTGGAAGTGAATTGGCAGAAGTTAGAATTCACGGATTGGCCATTGGATAGGGTCCCAGTGGCTCACTGGCCTACGAGCCCGCCTTGTAACCAGAGGGTCCTGGCTTCGAACCCTGTCGGCTGGCGCGTACTGCTGAAGAATCCTAAACTAGGACGAAACGGCTGTCCAGTACTCCTAGATTTTCCAATGGTTCTCTAACTGATATCAGCTTATAATGAAATCCTGTAACCAAAGAAATTTTCGTTGTATACTTAAGAAATTAAATTTTATTGAATGTAGAATCTATGCTTCTGTAAATCATAAAGTGTATTAATAATACTCATAGTTTTCTTTCCAAAAGTGTATTTGAGCATCTTTATCTGCGGGTGGTTAATCGCCAACTTTGGATATGATCAAAGCCAAACTTTTCATTCTGAAGAAGAAATTTTAGAAGTGGTTTTCATGCACTTGTAATTCTTAGATATGATAGAGAAGATTTATAGCTCAAGTGGCTGATTTTAATGTAGTTGTGCTTTCTTAGTTGGATGATTTATTCGTGAAGCCTCCATTGCCCTACTAGGCGATATCTTCAGCCAGTACTTCAATTTGAAGTGAGCCTTTAGATTTTTCCACGAGTGTGTTAGTCATCTCTCCTGGTGACGTTGAACGTGATTGTTTGTTTTCATGTGTTTTCACACCCTCTAGGTTACTTGTATTGCTATTGGTGTTGATTGCTCCTCTGAACTGAACTTTCACCTTTTGTGTGTGATATGGACAAAATTTACCAATGGATAAAAAGGAAATCTCACACACCAAACGTCAAGATTCAGGTCAAGGTAACAATCAACGCTAATAGCAATACAAGTAGACTAGGGGTGTGAAAACACACAAAAACAACCAATCACGTTCAGGGTAACCAGGAGAGATGACTAACATACTCGTGGAGGCTCACTTCAAATTGAAGTATGGGCCGAAGATGTTGCCTAGTAGGGCAGTGGAAGCTTCGCAAATAGACTATCCAGCTCAGAGAACACAACCACAACTGTCATTCTTTTCTGTAGACGAGGTCAGTTAAATAACTGCTGTATTTACCCATTACTTTATGCGGTTATTGATGCTGATATTATGAAATATGGCTGTTAGACATTTAAAGCCTAAATAATACCAAACCGTTATTTTATTCTCATTTAGAGTTGCTAAGCCTCTGCATTCCACATATTGGTCAAACGAATCTCAAGACATTTTGAGAATAAAACGTCTGACTTAAACTTCTTTCTCATTGAAGGCAGACAGTAATTAATCTTTTTGTATGATGTGGAAAAGTTTTGTGACAGGAATGCATAAAAGTAGTTTTCTTGTCTCTCCAAAGGTTTTATGAAAACTTTATATATTTGATAGTAATTGACGGTAGAGTCGAGAAAACATTGGCAACACACACACTTCAATGACGTGTATTTCAGCTCAGATCAGAGAAGAGATATTTTAAAACGCCTAAACTTTATACAGTAGACTTTTGATTCATGAAAGCCAAATATCTTCGTGTATTGGACTTATAGGACATACTATTATTCGTTTGGGCTCCACAATCATTTACAGGCTTTCATTTCCACCTCAGACCCACTACACCATGTAAATCTTTTACCCACACCCAATTCATCGCTTCCCGTTTGGCTTCTACTCGTAATGTCACCTGATGGTTTCATCATTGAATGTCCAGTCGATTTCCATTTCCCTCAGCAGACTTGTTTGGCAACAAGTTTTTGGTTGGTTTATTATCTGACAGAGTCCTCTGCTGCTTATTTTTTCTGGTTATCGATTAGTGAAAGTCTGTTGGAAATGTCTCTGGTGGCGTGGATACCAAATCTGAATCATATAAAAACGCTGGCTTTGCATTACTACTCAGAATCCGAAACTTGTAATTTTTAAAAATTAAAACAGGTTTTACATGCACTTCGTTTACTACCCATGTAAGTCAACAAGCCAGTTCATTCTTTTTTAAAACCGATTACTTCTTCTACATTCTGTTTTTTTGTGCTGTTTTGTTTCAACTGCCAATCAGTACACAAATAAAAGTTATTAACTACTAAAAAATCCAGGTTACCTCCATCCTTAGGAGTGAGTTCTCATGTTCACAACAATTATGATAATCTCGCTAATTTTGTCTTCAGGTGGAACTTATAGGAATATTCTGTTTACATGGTAACTATTTACAAACAAAAATCCCATTTTACACAAAAAAGTTGTGAAATAGTAGACAGTTTTTTGTTTGATTTCTAAGCAGTAATATGATTCTATCGACTATTTTTATAGTGGGTGTATAGCAGATGAAAATGAAGAGAGTAGTAAACATTTGTTTACATAACTAATTAGTTTTCGATGATCGATTTTTTATTGGACCGAAATGCTTTATTTTTGTTGAAACGTCGGCTACTAGTATGAATGCTACGCTGCTGTAAGGAAATCTATCCACGGGAAGTACAAAAGTAAGCTGAACAAACGGCAAATGATGCCTGCTGCACAAATGTTGGCTGTTGTATCAGAGTAAGCTGGTTAGATTTTAGGTATCACCGAAAGTGTTAATACCATTATATTTGTGAGATAAAATATTTTGATAAATGCAGTGAAAATAATAGAGAGTTTTAATTGAGGGGCATAACTGATACAAGCGAATAATAACCAAAACTAAAATGAATGAGTTGTGTTGTATTGAAGTTGAAGTTGAAGGTATCCTTTTCACCAGTTCCGTACCTTACTAACTGAAATGAGAGGTTACTGGCTGATAATATGACAATCAAGTCCTATTCCAGACTAAAGTGATTTCCTCATCAAATGAACATGAATATTCAGCAGTACACATTCATGATCTCACCGATGGTCCGCTCGAGCACATTTACGTCACGAGGCGAACTCGTACACCATCCAATCATCAGAACAGAGTCATATGGCCGGTGGATTTTACCTTTTGCGAGTTCGTGAAAAGTAAGATACATCAGATAGGATGTGAGGACGATTGGTCGTCAATGGGATGGGCTGGTAGTGGCGCTAGAAATTGTGAACTGGCAGAAGCTGGAATTCATTGGCCATTTGATTCCCTTCTAGTGGCTGAATGGCCAAGGCGTCCGTCTTGTAATCTGAAGGTCCATGATTCGATCAGCCCTAGGGTCATGGGTACGTCCCATTGAGGGGACCAAAACAAGGACGAGATCAAACTTGGAGCTGGTCAAATCCATGAAGAGTAACACTTCAAACTTTGACTATCTAAGTCAATCATATAAGCAAGTAAGGGTACTGGATCATTTTATAGACAATTTTATAAAATGATTTTTATAAAAACGCGTCGGTGGCACAGTGGTTAGGATCCTCGCCGACCATCCACATGGTCCGGGGTTTGAGCCCACGCCGACGCACACCCGATATCTACGGTCGGCCTGCGAATTTTGGGCTACCGATATCCACGCTGAAAATTCCATACTTGTACCAAAAATACGGTGTGGAATCAAGCTGTAAATAAAAAAAAATAAACATAGAATAACTTTTCCCTGTCTGAATAATCGGATAAATCACTTATTATGTAATCATTTCCCAAAAACAAAACAAAAACATGAACTTACTTTTTGTTGTATAACCGGGGAGTGTATCTGGAGATTTTTTGGGCGCACTATGATAACGTTTATTACTACTGCTATTGTCTTTAGGCTTGTCACTACTACTGTTACTGTCATTGGGTGTATTGGAATTATCGATATTACTACGATTATTATAATGATTATTAGCAACAGCGCTACGGTTAAAATAATTTACATCTTGATTTAAATCAGGTTGGGATTGAGACAAGACGTTGTCGCGTGAATTTACATTAGTTTGGAAACGCTTTTTACCAGTATTTGTTTCAACGTTCTGATATGGTGATATAAGACGTCGTGCTGAATTTTCTGATTTACTATTTTCATATGATGAATAATCAGTAGCACTGGTTGTATTATTTCCAGAGTCATTATGTTGCAATGGTTGTCGAGTTTTCTTGTCTAACGATAAAAAATATAAGAATCAGTAAAGACAAAGCTATAAAATATGGAGCTGCTGCATTCTGAAAACATATGAATAATAACACTTACTATGAACTCTGGTAAAGAACAAACCAGAAACTATTTTTCCCGAAAAATATGCAAAATAAATTAGAGGTGAGTCGTGCATACGCCGAGGAGACAGCTGAATGACTTCACGCTGCTGGCCGTTGAATTCAGACTGAATGGGGAATGAAGAGCCTGGCGTTTGAGAGTGACATGCAGGAGATCGTGTGGGAAGGAAGTAGAAGCTTATGAGCAGCGGTGAAGCCTGCTAGAAAGGACTGCAGGAAACAGAGTAAAATGGAGATGTTCTGCTGAAGCCATATGTTTCGCCTAGGACCTAGTGGAATAATATTAATAAACCCCTGATAATTTATCCACTTCAAAGCTACTTCCCAGTATCCAACACATGCTTGTATGAATTTCAATAATTCCTTTCGTATATTAAGTTATTTTGATCAAATCAAGCCTATTTCAAGTCGCATAACCGCTCATTTACGAATTATGTAAACTGTGTTCACGAAGTTATGTAGGATTTCAGGGTGTAGCAAAAGTCGGTCTCACAGACAAGTATTCTTTTAAAAACATCTTCTTTACGTACTTACTGTTATTATGGTTACGGAGTTAAAAGCAGATGTATTTCAGATTTCTCGGTAACCAGATAAATAGTACTTACATGAGAAATGAGGTGAGCTAAGAGCAATTACAAAACAATTTTGAAGTGGAAGTTAATGATTTTTATTAATCATCGTAAATTTTTACCATTCGGGGAAGCAAAGGTGACAATTTTAATTGAAGACTGTTAGTTGGGCAGCTAGTACAATTATAATATTCATTGAACAGAAAAAGCTTGAAAATTGTAAGAATGAAGAATATTGTGACTAAAGTTGTTTACACTAAGAGAGAAGAAAAGAGGATAATACTTAGCCTAAATGAGGAGTGAACATGTTCCTTTTGAATGAGGACAGAAAATGCTGTTTGTCACAAAGTTTTAATGGTTTACCTTATGTTATGCATACGCCAACCTGATATTCCAATTGCACACTTGTTTTTCACTCTATTCAGTTAAATAACCACATGTGGCAGATGTGAACAGAAAGCATCATGACTTGTCAAACATGTCACCTGCAAAGTATCTTCATTTAGACTAGAATGTAGGTTGGAGAATGTTAAACCTCATTATAATAAAGGTTTTTGTATTTCCCAATGAATGAAAAACTAAACGATATTGTTTTTACTGACGTTTCGCTATTTAATGCTGCTAACAGCTTCATCAAAGTATTATTTAACCGGAATTTACCAAATCTCAGCGTATATATAACAATTCAGGTTTAATAATACTTTGATTAAGCTATTAGCATTAAATAGCGAAACGTCAGTAAAAACAATATCGTTTTGTTTTTCATTCATTGGGAAATACAAAGGCCTTTATTATAATGAATATCATATACCCAATGCCCAAATTTTTTCAAACCGTTAAAAGTGAACTTGGTTTGGACATATATAATGTTAAACCTCTTCAGTTTTAATGTTAGCCACCAACAAAATGGCGTCGGCGGCACAGAGGAAGAATACTTGCCAATCATGCATATATTCAGGGGATCGATCCCCGGCCAGCGCAATCCTTTACCTCACTAAGGTAATAATTAGACTTGTAAAGAAGGGAAGTTGGACATGAGACTAGCAACCCTGTAACAACAGAAGACAAGGGCCGGCAACCGATCGTTTTGTTATGGAAATCAGGACGTATTTATATATATTTCATATACATTATTATGGCTTATTCAAGCATACAAACACAGTCTTCTGATCAGTTGTTTCTGGTTTCTCGAAAAGTTAAGCCATACATCTGCGAATCTTATTTGCCCACGTCAAGTCTGCTGTGATTGGTTGTTGAATCAGCCTTGTTCATATTTTCTCACGGCCATTATTAGTGACCTAGACATTGACGTAAATTAATGTCTACCAATTGGCTAGCAGCCTGCTCTCACCACAACCCCATCCCGTAAAAATAAATATCACTGCTACCTAAACTTCAAGCTGTAGCTTGAAGCCCTATGTTCCACTGGGAACGTAAAGGAATAAAAAGCTCAACAAAATGAAATTTTGGAGTAATACTTGTGGTAAGATCTCTCTGCAATACAAATTTGTAGACAGCAATTTACGTCAATGTTTACATCCCAAATCGGGGGAATGGGAAAAAACAAGAACGAAGCCTAACCTCGAGGAACTCAACAGCCAATCACAACAGAATTCGCGTATGCAAATACGATTTGCAAATATATGGATAACTTTGTAAGCAACGGTCACAAGCAGTATAGAATAACCTTCAGCAAGAAAACAACTAATCAAAAGACGTTGCTTCTACATAAAAATCTATAAATATCTGTTGATTTTGTCAGTAAGTGATCTGTTGCCTGGCCTTTGTCTTCTGTCTTTACATACTGAGATATTTACTGGAGTGGCTCAAACACCAGAATAAATCGTCTCATATCGTGAATCACTATTTTCACTTTTCGAGAATAAAAAGTTTCCAGACAATGTGAACAACGGAAGTAGGGAATTCGAAAGCCTAAAGTCAAACTTAACTTAATAGTATGTGAAGAAACTAAATGTTATAAGAATGAACAAGACGTCATAAGGAAGTAGGGGTAGATGAAACAATACATGTTAGAAAAAACAAGACTGTTTGTTTATTGAAACAACTGAAGGCACTAAATGACGAACCGTTGACTAGCGAAGAGTTATCAGGATATTTTCTTCTTATATGCTGGTTATATCATACTGACAAGTTATACGGGTGTGACCAGTGTCACATATCTACTTCTTAGTGGCATTGACTGGATTCTGTCAATCAGTTTGTAGTGTGTTAACTAAACCAGGGGACTTAAAACGTCTGGACGTGTGGCTGCAGGAGCCGGTTGACAATAAGCCTTGGAATTGAGTTTCTTACTGGAACTCTTTAGCGTGCCGCATCTCCAGACTTGAAGTAACTCATGTTCCCTATACTATTCAAACCCACATCACCCACTGGCGCAGTTAAAGACGTTAACACTAAGTCTGCTATTTACCTCTTGTAGGGCCGTACCAATATCGTATGCTGACACTTATAAAAGTGATAAGTAAACTTTAGTTACACTATAACCTAGTATATATGTGGGCTGACTTGGAGCAGGATGAAAACGCTGACCGAAAACCGAACGCAATGAAGATGCGCGGCTGAAGCCCTCTGTTCCTCTAGGAATTAAAGGAAATAATAATAATAAATAGTATGTGTGCTGAGTTCTCTTGTGTTTCATTATTCAAATAATGGTAAACAACCAGTGTTTTATCAGTAAGTCTAAGATGTTAAACATTTTCTCTGACTACTGAATTCTGACAACTGCGTTTATCCAGTTGATGTTGCTTTATTGATGATGACCAGTAGTGGATTCTAATATTCACATTAACTCATATCTGGGACTGGTGAGTTGGATATACGTGCATCCCCAGTGAGTCATAGTGTTCCCAGTTGAAATTTGTTACTACAGCGGCTGATTTAGGGTCTCAGTGAGGAACACCATCACTCATTTGGGATGCAGGTGCATCAGTATGGCAAGTCTTAAATAAAAAAAAACAAGATTGTGTTGTGGATTCTACTGCTAGAAACTATCAAACAAGTAATATTGTGTTCATCCCAGAGCATTACTGAAGTGTTTGTGCTTGCAGCTGATAGGACAACAGAGACTGAGCATATGAATCCAGTATAAGATGAAGTCTAAAATGACTTCAAGGTAATAAAGAGTTTAAATTTAATCTAACCTTAGCCAAAAAAAATCAGTTTGAGTCTAGGCGGTTTTTCATATCATCATTTAGGAAGATGTATTGTATGCATTTAACAAATATGTATACCTCAACAGGTGATGTACACTTTTGACAGCTTAATAGAATAAACCCCATGAAATACAATCCTTGTGTTTTTAAGTGACTGCAATTTGCATAACAAGAGTGTTAAAGTGTAAGATATTCATGTGAAACTAATCCGTTTTTAATACTCACTAAATATGATGGATTACACTGTTCCCTCTGAACATAAGTTAACATACATATTTACATATTTTATCTACATATTTTTCAATAATTACGAATTTTTTTTAGGAATTTGTTAACTGCTTCAGTTTTATGATGAATTTTTTTTAAAAAAACGTGTGTTTCTTCTGATCTGCATGAATTGATCATGGGGTTGAATAGATTGATTATAATTTTTTGTGAGTTTTTTATTCACCATATCAAAAAACCTTTGTGCAAAATATTCACATTTACAGTCGTAGCGAATAAAATGAAGTGGAGTTACGCAGTCAGTGGATTGATTGTAGAAAGGAAGACAAATGCAAACACGTACACACATATTCTGGATTAAGCGCCTTGCTACTCGCTACTGTTACACAATTGTCAAAGTTAGCATCTGTTTCGCATCAGTATATTTGAGTATAATGGAGATTTGCAGCTCAGGTGGATGATTTCGATGTAGTTATATTCTCTAAGCTGGATGGTTTATTCGCTAAGCCTTCATTGCTTTACCAGGCCTTATTACATGTGAGTCGAAGGTAAGCATAGTAAAAGTGAAAAGAAAATTACGAAGGCTTTCACGGCTCTAGGATATACAGTATCAAGATTTGAATATTTCTTCAATGTGAATGCATTCCCAGTGATGTAATCCATCTATTTCGACTGAAACACAAAACGTGGAATATACACATTGGGTCATAGGAGTTATTAAGAAGACAGTTGCAGCGAAGAAAATCTTCTTCTCGAAGTCATCATCTAGGCTGTACATTCATGTATTTATGTCAGACAGATGGGAAGGTTCCAGAATAATTTCCGGTTAAGTGTCAAATTAATAAAAATGACAATTAGGAATTAAAATGCCATAATAAAGAGGGAGACGGATAAAACTCAAACAAAGTAGCATCATAGTT